GGAGGGGAAGTGAAGAGAGTGGGTGCAGATTGTCAAGAAGCTTGAGTGGAGAGGAAGCGTGCAAAGATATGGCCTAGTGGCAAGAGAGGGTTGCAGTTCGGAGGGAGAATTGTGCTTTTGGGATAGACATCAGATCAGGTCTGTCCACTGAAGGGAATGATCCAGGAGAGAGATTCATGACATCCCAGAGGGTTGGACCCACAGAATGAAGTCCCTGCTAAGGGTCATACGCTGGGGGAATTATCCAAGAGAGGCCCCTCCTTGGAGGAGGAGGTGGGACAGACCCAGGTCCCTCGGGGGTAGTCGGGGAGGAGAGGCCTCCAGAGCCCAGAGCCTGCCCCTTGGGCATCAGTGCCTCCCAGTGGCTCCTCCAAGATGGGGGTGGCCCGCAGACTGTTCAGGGAAGAGATGGTGGGACACCTGCAGTCAGAGCCCACCTGCTGGGCTACAACAGTGTGGTTGAAAATATATCACCCTTGGTGTTTGCAGAGGGTTTTTTTAACCCTCACCCAAGGATATTTTTTCCATTGGTTTTCAGAGAAACTGTATAAGGGAGGGAGAGAGACACATCAACCGGTTGCCTCCCACATGCGCCCTGGACTGAGGCTGGGGGTTGACCGAGCCTGCAACCAAGGCACGTGCCCTTCGCCGGAATCGAACCCAAGACCCTTCAGTCTGAGGGCCAGCGCTCTAACCATTGAGCCAAACTGGCCAGGGCCAGAGTCTTTTTTTAAAAAGTAAGTCTACTGTAGAGCCTTTTGCTCTATGACTCCCCTATTGGGGGTTATCATTTAGAGGACACGTTTATAAATAAAGAATTTGACCCATACATAAAGTATAATGTACTGTGTAACGGGCAGCAAGGCAGCTTGGCTTTGCAGCATAGTACTTCCTCTTTTGAGTTTGTATTTTTAAATTTCAGAAATACCTCCCCAAGGATGGCACTTTTAAACTTCAGTGACTTCTCTTACCTGAAGCAACACAGTTCTTTTGGGCAGAGAACGAGAAGCATATTCTATTCAGTCCTACTTTGTTGTAGGCCAGCGATTTTCAATCAGTATGCCACAAGAATTTTTGAAACATGTAATACCTGACTATTTAGTCAGGGGCACTGACTTCTGTTCCCTCAGATTGTCAAATAAAAAAATGACAACAGCCACCCTGGTGGGCGTCGCTCAGTGGTTAGAGTGTTGGCCTGAGCACCAAAGGGTCTCAGGTTTAATTCCTGGTCAAGAGCACGTACCTGGGTTGTAGGTTACATCCTGAGCCCTATTTGGGGCTTGTGTGTGAGGCAACTAATCAATGGGTCTCTCACATCAACTTTGCTTTCTCTCTCTCTCTCCCCTTCCTTCCTCCCTTCCACTCTTTCTAAAAATAAATAAATAAATAAATAAAATGGAAAAAATATCCCCAGCTGAGGATTAACAAAAAACAAGACAAACCACAAACACAATTGCCATCTAGTGCAAATGAATCAAAATTATACCTATTTTTTTGGTCAGATCAGCAATAAATACATTTTTTGGCATACTGCAGAATTTTAGTAATTAATTTATGTGCCATGAGGTGAAAAAGGTTGAAAACCGCTGTTGTAGACAAAGCCTGCAGGGTGAATGTCAGGCTGCTCAGGGTCTGCCTGATGCCCTTTCATTTGGGGCAGTGCAAAAGGCCCTTTAAGGCCTGGGGACGCTGACTTGGGGTCCCTCCAGTAGGCAAACTGGCCATAGCACGCTGACTGCACGGGTCCTTAGATCTGCCCAGGGTCCCAAACCTTGTGGGATTTCACATGGAAATCCAGATGTATAGCTGGTCATGTCTGACCAAAGTCTACTAGAGTCATGGCAAATTAGTGCAGGCTAGTCAGAATGTAGGAGAGAATTATGCATTAAGGATTTTAATGCAAAGAGCATTTGGAGCCTTGAGTTAGGAGAACTGGATTCCAGTTCTGGTTTGTGCAAACCAATAAGCTGAGGCACAAAGGACAGTTGACAGTCCTCACCGTAGAAATAATAATGACATAATAATAACTCGTGCTTCTGTTGGGTTCTCTGGATGTCAGGCACTGTTCCAATGCACCGGTTCACAGAAGCCATGCAAGGTAGGACTAGTCTTCAGCGAGGCACAAAGAAGGCTGCACCGTTGCCCAGCTAAGGGTGGAGCCAGGATTTGAATCCAGGTGCCAGTGTGAGTTGAGCTAAGCGCAGGTCATGGAGCATCAGCCCCTTTAATCCTACAGGTGCTCCCTGAGTAGGTACTGTTCCAGGGGGCAGGAGTCCTGGCTCTGGTTCTCACCTGGCCCCTGGTTCTGATGCACCAGTTCACTCAGTTCATCGCAGAGCTGGGACTTGTTCCTCATGGTTGCCGTTGCTCACAAGATACCTGCAAGGTCTGGTCTTCGTAATCAGCATGGCACCGTCTATGTCTCTTTCCTCCTGATGTCACCCTGCTGTCCTGCATTCGGTGCTCTGAGTGAGCATTGCCAGCATGACCCCAGGACCACTTGCAGTGAAGAGGGGCCCAGGGAGATGCGTCAGGGATGTCAGGCCCAGCTGCAGTGGCCTGGCTCAGCCAGCATGAGTTGTTCCTCACATCTCTTCCCTGTGTTTTCAGGAAGGAGCATTCGCGTTGGTTTTCAAGAGCATCCACTATCCCGGAGAAGCTGTTGCCACAAGGTAAGGCAAACACATTGATATTTCCAATAGCAAATAACTAAAATATAATCACCTAGCTTGAGGCACAGGGGACCACAGGGCCTCTGGAAAACTGGAAGGTACTTGCTCTATCGAAAAGACAACTGTGGCTTAGCCACAAAGAATGCACCCCATCATCTCTTTGGCCAGAGCTTCTGCCTTTTTGAAAGAAAAAACAGAGTTGGATTTTTATTTGAAATCTCCATATTTTTAGAGGTTGACAACAAATTCAAATTTAAAATAAAATTATATAGTAAAGGCAGATCCAGCTTTCATGGGGCTTAAAGCCTATGTAATTTCAGAGACTCCCTTTAGAAAAGGCATGCAAAATTATGAACATGAAACTAGGAACAAAAATGAACATTGGTTTGAATCCAGTAGAGAAGAGGCTGCCCAAGCCCAAAGCTCAAGCTTCATCACCTTCATGGCGGGGGTGTCCCAGGACCCTCTGTCAGAGCCCTCAGAGCCCCCAGCACTATAGATTTACACAAGCAGGTGTATGACTGCCATCCTATTTTATATTCACATGGGTTGATTGTTCATCTGGCTATCCATTTGTCCATGCATTCATCTGTCCATCCATCCATCTGTCCATTTGTCTGTCCAGCCATCCATCCAGCCACCCATCTATCCATCCATTCATCTCTCTATCTGTCCATCTATCCATCCAACTAATATTTGCTGAGCATTTATTATGTGCTGGACCCTGAGGACCTGGTGACATCAGACATGGTCCTGCCGTTAAGGCCAGGATATTTGTGCAGGCAGACAGAGCAGGGCAGAGATAGTGATACTCTGTGATGGGGGGTTGGGGTAAGAGGCAGCACACTGGGGGCCTGGGGAGAGCAGATGTCAGCCTGGGGGAGGCAGACAGAGGGACTGGCATGAGTAAAGGCAAAGGGCCCAGGGCAAGCATGGCACTGCTAGGATCTATAGTCAGGCCAGGATGGAGGGGAACAGGGTACTGGTGGGACTTGAGGCTCTTCCAGTCTCAGTGTGTGCTTATTGACACCTGCTGGGTACCACGCATGGGGAACAGCAGTGAACAAGGTCATGGAGACACTCGAGGGGTGATGGGGAGTGGGAATATGCGCAGAGGCCTTGGATACTCTGTGGCTGCAGGCTTCATTCTGAAGGCACTGGGGAGCCATAAGAAATGCACCTATGGCCCTGGGAGACAGGACAAGAGAGGGTGAGGCTCTCCCTTGCAGATTGTCAAACTATCTAGGCAGGAAAAATATTATTTTATTTTTTCTAAGATAGGAATTAATTTATCATTTGGAATTTTATTCCTTCAAATTATAGAATTATACCTGTTGGTCCTTATCAAATTTAGAACCCCCTTTTAAAATCTGCTATTATCATGATATTATTATTTTAAATGAATGTAGAAGACAGTAAGAGGAAGCAGTAAAGTTTTGTTTTTCTGAATTGTCTGTAACTAATGGCTCTATAACCTGCAGGACAATCTTTGGGATGTGTTGGGAGCATTATATATCACAAATCCAGAGAAGCCACAAGGCTCAATCCATAAAAAAGCACTTGAGGGAGACATTTGCCAAGAAATACAGATAGCTACAGGGCTTTCTCACGGCCATTATTATAAAGACTACTTAAGCTAGTTCCCCAGTGGAGCCAGAACTATGTCTCTGATATGCTTTGTATATAATAAAAGAGTGTCTAGAATATTCAGGGTGCTCACTGCACCTTCTGCAATCACAGACTTTGTCCCCCTACTTGGAGAAGTCAGAGTGAGGTCCAAATAGGCAACAGCGCTGGAAAACAAGATCTGTTATCAATGAAGAACTATTTAGCGCCTGTATTGAGTCAGGTTAGCACACTAAGTGGACATACATGGGCTGGACTCTGGCTGACTTAACAAGTCATTCATGAATACATTGATCTAAGTTAGCAAGAAACTGGCTGATGTAAAATATTACCCTGCTGTATTCTAATTAACATGTTCGAGACAGTGCTTTTAAGTTGTCAATACATTCTCAGTGTTTTCTTCGTATTAGCAAGTTAACATGTAGGGGAGGAAGGGCCTGTGTTCTTTAGTAACTATTGGGATGTTGATGTCCAGGTTCCTGCTAAGAATGGCAGGTCTGGAGTTCCTGAGCTACAAAAGTGAACTGCTTACTACGCTGTGCACCACTGTGAATTTGATTTGCATGATGTCATTTGTAAGGATGAGCAGATAATTAGGTTTTGGAGGCAGGATGCCATTCAAATCATAGAATAATTCCTTATAAACACATTAGCTGTAGAAGTTGTGACCAGAAAGAAATTCATAAAGCACTTTACTGAAGATTGCCTTCTGGTGCTGGGGGCTGAGCTGGGGTGGGGGTACAGGGGCCCTGAGTTATGGGCCCTCAGTCAGGTCAGCTGCAGGAAATTCCCATCACTGTCCCCTTTGTGATGGAGTCTGCCTTGTGCAGGTCTGAGATTCAAAACTTCATCGAGGTATTCCTTAGGCAGAAACAAAACTGCCCTAGAAAGTGCTTTAAATAGCCCACAAAGTTGAGCAGACCCAAAGCCATTCAGTTGAATGCTCCCCAAAGCTGGAGAACACCTTAACCAGGTGAAAGGGGGGCAAGGAGAGTCTTTGTGCAGATCCTGTGCCTCGAGGGCTCTCTCTTTAGAGATGGGCAGGGAAGAGAGGCAGGCGGAGACCCTAAGTGTACCTGCTGCTGCCAGGGCTTCACAGGGACTTGGTTCTGGTGCCAGCACCATGTGGGAACTCACTGAGCAGGTGGGTGGCACCCTAGAAGCGAGCTGGGATTCTCAACACTAGCCTGTTGGTCCTTGCTCCAAGTCCTGGGAACATCTTCCTGTGGCCCAGGAGTCTATCGTGTGGGACCTCAACAGGACCCTTTGCCTCAGGGAACAGGCTAGATGTGGGGACTGTCCTCAGTGCTCAGAGGGCATCCAGCCCCATCCCAGATGTTGAGGTGATGGCTAACTCGATCCCCTCTTATCCCTACAGGAGAGGCAGCCCCCTGCTCATCGGAGTGCGGAGCAAATACAAGCTCTCCACAGAACAGATCCCCATCCTGTACATGACATGTGAGTCCCTTCAGGAGGACCGGATGGTGCTGCTCCAGCACAAGCAGCCCCACCCCTGGAGGCATGAGGCCCTCACCGTGCCCGGGCGGCCTGCACATGACACCAGATCCAGAAGGTCCTCAGGCAACTGAGACTTGTCTCTGTTTCTCCAAAAGCTTTTTTACTGTGAATATTTTTTAACATATACCCAAGTAAAGGGCATGGTGTGCGGCTCGTATATGCAGGCCCCCGTGCCCAGACTCCAGAGTTGATTTCATGCGCTCTCTCTGCGGCCGTTTAAATGCTCTCGCTATTTGGGGATCTTTCACACTATTTGGCTGACACAGCCAAAGCTAAAAATTGCAAATCTCCCCCACACATATTCAAAGGGGAAATGGGCTGCATGCTTCATGTTATTCAAACAAAATTGTTTAACGTGATTTGCGATCCTCTCCTTCAATTTGCTAGGCAATATTGAGAATGTGAAGAACATCTGTAAATCGAGGATGCAGAGGCTGGACAGCTCGACCTGCCTTCATGCCGTGGGCAATAAAGCTGTGGAATTCTTCTTTGCTTCCGATGCAAGGTAGCCAAGCCTTGTTTTCTTTCTTTCCTAGGACTGTGTAATCAAGAATGACTGGCTGCAGCCCCCCATAGGAGCTGTTTTCTCCCAGCTCACCAGGGGCAGGGTGGTGGCAGATTTCAGTTCTTAGTGGCCCTCCTCTGGGAAATAAATCAATATGTGATGTCCCTTCCCTCCTAAAATGCCATTCAGTGCACTGATGTGGGCTCACACTGGGGAGGCAGTGACCAAGGGCTGTCTGCAGCTGTCGAGCACAGTCCCCGCCTGTGATACCCATGTTTTCCTTGCCCCAGTGCTATCATAGAACACACCAACCGGGTCATCTTCCTCGAGGACGATGACATTGCTGCAGCGGCTGATGGGAAGCTCTCCATTCACCGGGTCAAGCGTTCGGCTAGTGATGACCCATCTCGAGCCATCCAGACCTTGCAGATGGAACTGCAGCAGATCATGAAAGGCAGGTGTCCTCTGGGGGCAGGCATTCCCTGGGGAAGCCCCTGAGCCTCTCTGCCCTGTCCTGGGTGGGTGCCATGACCCACCTGCTTACTGGGGCCTCCCAGAAAGGGCTGCAGTGATCTCAGGGGACATGGGGAGCCTGCCCTAGCTCTTACAGGGGAGCATCTGGCTATATCCAGGTGCCAGTCCCTCTGCTCGATCTAACCAGTCCATCAACTGCCTCCTTCACTGACTTTGGGACACATTTCTGTGCCCCAGGTATCAATCTCTGGCAGAAGACCTGTGGTAACGGGGAAACTAGGGACCACTCTCTCCTCTCAAGGAGAGCCTCTCCCCCTGCACCCATGTTCATCTCCCCGCACCCTCTTTCCACAGGGCAGCCTGGCTAAACTTTTAAGAACATGAATCAGAACCTTTGTCCTGCTGTTTAAAGCCCTCGAAAGGCTTCCTACTGTTCTGAAAATAAAATGCACAAACCCCCACATGCAGTCTGGCCCCACCTCGCTCTACCCTTTCCCGCTATGCCCTGGCCACCCTAGCCGCCCTGTTACTGACAGGCCCTGGGCTTGCCCACTCTGGGGGTCATTGCATTTATTGTTCCTCTCATAGGATAGTTCCTTTTGATCATGTCCCATGAAATGTCACCCACTCAGAGAGCCCTTTCCCTGATCCTGTGTCTGCAGTGGCCAGACCCCTCTTCACCTATTTGCTTCGTGGCACCTTTTGTATAAGTCCTCTGCTGAAGGTAGCAGACAGGGACACTGCAATGGCATGTGTGTGTGTCCCAAAGAACACCTCCAGATCATCAAGCGCAGCATGCTGGGGCCTTAACATGCTGCAGCTACACGGCCACATTGATGTTCTCCAACCCCATTCACATCAGAGCCTGGAAATACACATGCGACCGAAAGGTTTTTCTTTAATACAGAAGCTAGAAGGGTGTTTGTTAAAAAGAAACCAGTCTCTTTCTTTGGGCAGGCTTAATTTGTACTTCCCTAAGTAGGTGAGTTTTGGGAAGGAAAGCATTTTACTTTCTTCTGGCCTTGCTAAGAGGAGTGTGGCCCAGGAAGACCAGCCCAAATTTGTTACTCTCATCCCTCCCCCCTCCCCCCCCCGATGGAAAGGCCGAGTGTATAAACTGAAATAGTAATCGAGCCTGACATGCTTTCCTCTTGATTGTCACCATGAGCATCAGGTGGAACATCACCTGATGACTGTAATCTGCAGTGGTCTTTACATGTGTCATGCTGACTAATTGCATAAAGTCTTGATTAAAAGTTAAGCCCTGGAAATAGAACTATATGAAAACTAACCTGTCTTGTTGATGTTTACTTGGGCAGGTAACTTCAGTGCATTTATGCAGAAGGAGATCTTTGAACAGCCAGAATCAGTTTTCAATACTATGAGAGGTCGGGTGAACTTTGAGACCAACACAGGTAATCCCTGGACCTCACCCCAGGCCACTGTGCAGTCCCTGTATGACAGGGCTCACTCTGACACCCTGCATGTGCCCCACAGTGCTCCTGGGCGGCCTGAAGGCCCACTTGAAGGAGATTCGGCGGTGCCGACGGCTCATCGTGATTGGCTGTGGAACCAGCTACCACGCCGCTGTGGCTGTAAGTGCCATGTGCTGGGTCCTGGTGGCCGGGGAGGTAGTGGTGGCCTAGGACAAGATGCATCTTACATGCTGTCACACGCTTGGTCTTCCAAATTCAGTTCCTGTGAGCCAGTGTGAGAGCTGGTACGGTCCCTTCTGCTGTTCGCCCTGAGTACCTGAAGTTGCCTCACCACCCAGATACAGAGGCTCCATTTCACAAACTGTCCCCTAGAAGCCCAGCTGCCGATGTCCCTGTAGCGTCGTGACTGACTTTAGTCTCCATTCTTGTTGGCTTCAGACACGGCAGGTTTTGGAGGAACTTACCGAGCTCCCCGTGATGGTTGAACTTGCTAGCGATTTCCTGGACAGGAACACGCCGGTGTTCAGGGACGATGTCTGCTTCTTCATCAGCCAGTCAGGTAGGGGGTACAGGTTTGGGTTAGTTCACTCAGGGCTGTCCTCTCAGTAACTCACCCTGTGCCTTCCTCCCTCCTTCATCCAGCGAGGTTCTCTGTGCACCAGCCACATGCGGCTCTCTCATGCATCTGGTCATTTCACCTGCAGCACCATCAGTTTCTGTCTCATTTTATGGGGAGGACCATGCAGCCAGGGCTTCTTCCTTCTCCTGGTATTTCAAGTCCAAGGTTTATGGGACCACCCACCAAGGTGCCATAAATGTGTGCTGGGTTTAAGTAAGAGAGTTCTTCAAAATTCTGCTGGTTCGAGGGCTATGTGGTTGCTGTGCAGTGCCCACGCTGCCAGCAAGGGGAGGTGTGGAGAGACCCTGCTCCAGGGTAGGGCCGGCTCAGCAAACCCCACTGGGTACCATCCTATCACTAGGCTGGGTGTTTGCTACAGTCGGGCTGGGCAGAGGGTTGGAGAGGTGACTTGTGGCCATAGGCTTGGACCTGCTCCCCTCTCACTTGTCACCGTGAGCATCAGGTGGAACATCACCTGATGACTGTAATCTGCAGTGGTCTTTACATGTGTTATGCTGACTAATTGCACAAAGCTCTAGGAGGATTTTAAAAACATTTTAATTATCGAAAATTTCCAAGTCTTTATAAAAGTAGAAATTCCCACGAGGAATTTCCTAGTCTTAGCAATGATCAACTCAGCAGACCTTGTGTCATCGATACCCACGTGAACCCCTCCCCTCCACTGGGTTATTTGGAAGTCACTCTCAGACGTCGTGTTATTTCATCCATGAGTACTTCAGAATGTATCTTTTTGACAAAAGGAAGAAAACCTAACCACAAAATGGAAGCCATATTGAGAGTTCCAATGGATATTAGGCCTTCAATTTTGGATTTTTTATCCTATTTCACTGACAAGCTAAGAGGCGCTAATACAGACACACCCACCATCTGGCTGAGCACTTTGTACCCAGGTGCTGCCATGTGACTTCAGTTGCCAACATTGTCAGTTTATGATCCATCCAAACCTAAAAATGTTTCATGACTTGGTGGGAGCCACTCACCAAAGAACAGAGGTGGATTTCATGTGAAAATAATGTCGTAGCTGCTCTTGAGTATCTTCACAGAGGGTTTTAAAGTTTCATTTTGTTTAGCCCTTTCCATTAAGTTAAAAAATACTGTACCAGAAACTGGGGAGCGAGGATGATGAAGATAGAGCTGTCCTGCTCTCCACCTCTGAGCCCCAAACCCTGTAGGCACTGAGAAAGGGCTGTGTGACACCCCGGTGTGCTAGATGCAAGTCTGAAGAGAAAAAGGGAAAAGGGATTGGGCCATAGAGTAGCACCAGCCTGCACTGCAGAAGCGCTAGGAAAGGCACAGCCAAGAGCAGTGGTTGAGCAGACATCAAATGAGTTTGATTTTATGGTCTGGATCCTATTTGATTTAGTTTGAGTTCTTTAGGATTTGGAAACACAGGGAGTCTGTGCTGGCTTATGCGTGAGCCAATGAAGTAGTTTTATTATAAAAATAATTTTTGTCCACATTGTGAGGCTACAAGAAGTGTTTTTCTTTATAACAAGATTTATTTGAGAAATGCCATTTGGGGACATTCTTGCTTTTTAAATATTAAATCTCGGCACATTCTGAATAAGGCAGCTTAGAGCTATAGAAAGGGCATTGGGGCCCGAGCCCGCCCAGGTTGGTGCTGACTCCATCACCCACCGAAAGTGGCCTTGAGTGAGCGAGGCATTGATTCCCTCTTCTGAGTCCCTCATCCTCAAGGGGAAATGGGGACGATGGCCCTCATGGGACTGCCATGAGAGTCAATGGAACAGTGGGTGAGAAAGTGCTTGCCACATAAATAGCAGTGGAATCTTGAATCTAAGAATCAAGCAGCAAAATTATCGAGCATGCATTTTCTTTGTGGGCGCAAATTGGCTGTGACTGGACACTGATTTTTGTGTAAGAGTGGGGAGGAAATGAATGGGGGGCTGAGGGTTTGGGTGGGCAGAGCCATGCACCTGTGAACACACAGCTGAAGGGAAGGGTCTGTGTGGCAGGTGAGACCGCAGACACCCTCCTGGCACTGCGTTACTGTAAGGAGCGCAGGGCCCTGACCGTGGGCGTCACCAACACCGTGGGCAGCTCCATCTCTCGAGAGACTGACTGCGGTGTCCACATCAATGCAGGCCCGGAGGTCGGCGTGGCCAGCACCAAGGTAAAGAAGCTGTGTGCATCCTGGTGGGAGGGCCTCGGCTGGCGGGTGGATGGTAGGCCTAGGCCGAGGGGGGCCCCGGTGACCTGCCCCTCTCACGTGGCTGCCACCAGCACATTCGCCCCCTCTGCCAACATTGCCATTTCTCCACAGGCTTACACCAGTCAGTTCATCTCCCTGGTGATGTTTGGCCTGATGATGTCTGAAGACCGCATTTCACTACAAGATAGACGGCGGGAGATCATCCAAGGCCTACAGACGTTACCTGGTATGTTCCAAAATGACACTCCCCTTAACTTTCAAATCCCAGTGGGCTGTTCTTCCTGACTCACTGTTAGCGATGCTGTTAATCATACCCTTTTCCTCAAAACTTCCTCCTCTCCACTGGGCCAGGATTGAAGTCCACACTCCTCACCAGTCCCAGGAGCTCTGCATGCTGGGCCCCTGACCTCAGATGTCATCGACTTCCCTTCCCCCACCCTCTCTTGATGGGGGGGTCCTCACTCACCTTTGATCCTCAGGAGTGCCAACCTCTTTCCACCCCAGGGCCTTTGCACTGTCTCTTTCCTTTTAAACCCTCTTCCTCTAGCTCTTCAAACAGCATATGGCTTCTTANGAGTGCCAACCTCTTTCCACCCCAGGGCCTTTGCACTGTCTCTTTCCTTTAAAAACCCTCTTCTTCTAGCTCTTCAAACAGAATATGGCTTCTTTTCGCAAGTCCCAGCTCAAATGTCACCTCCTGGGACCCTCCCTGGCCACCCTAACTGAGGTCTCACTCCCCTGTCTCAACTCTATGAAATGTTAGCCAGTTTCGCTTCTTTTTTTTTTAATCCTCCCCCAAGGACATGTTTAGAGAGAGGAAGGGGGGAGAGAGAGAGAGAGAAACATCAATGTGAGAGAGAAATATTAATCGGTTGCCTTCTGTACACACCCCTCGACCAGGAATCACTGGCAACACTTCGGTGCACAGGACGACACAGTCAACCAGCTGAGCCACTCCGGCCAGGCCAGCCAGTTTCTTTTCTTTATAACACATGCTGTGATCCAAAATTACCTGTTCACCTATGTACTGGCTTGTCTTCCCCAACTAACACGTCAGCTCCCTGAGCACACAACCTTGTCACAGTCACTGCTGGATACCGGGTGCCTGGTCAGGGCAGGCATCCTACAGTAGGTGCGCAGGAAACACCTGAGAAAGAGCACATGGCCCCGAGTCTCTTCCTGTCCCAAACCGCTCCCTTATAGTCTCACCAAACTCCTCTTTTGCTAGGCTCCATCTTCCGCAGTCGGTGAGATATACAGTGTGGCACAAAGTTGCAAGGTCTTTGGGCAGCACGTGGTTTCATTCATTCATTCATTCACTCATTCACTGTACTCACATGTATTCTGGACCAGCTGCCCTGCCCTGAGGCCATCCTGGCACTGCCAGGATAAGCAGCAGCTCCTTTCCTTCAGCCCACTTACACTCTAGGGAAGGAGAGAGATCTCTTAGGTTTCCTTTGTGCAGCTCTCAGAGTATGAAATGAAAAGACCTCACCCCTTGGACAAGGCAGCCCTGGGTCCTCCCCAGGAGCCAGGGGCCGATCCCAGAGAGGGCAATGAGGGAAAGCCACTATCTAGCCATGCAAAGCCTAGGGATCTGAACCTGGCCAAGACAACATGCTGAAAATTTAGGGCAAGAAAAGCATTCTTAACTTTAAGCAGGTAGTAACCCTGCAAAAACAGGATTCTATCCTGATGTCTGAGTCAGCAGTTCTCAAGATGCGGCCCACAGGTCCTAGGGGTCTGCAAGACCTTTGCAGTCAAATCCATATTCATAGTAACACATTATTTATAATAAACAAGACGTATTTGCCCTTTTTGCCGTGTGCACATTTGCAAAGGCAGTGTGGCCACCACTGGCACCTTCTTGCTCTTCACAGCAGAGGCACCACACTCTTCAACCACCAGGCACCCAGCCTCACTTACGAATGCCCTCGATGAAACAGTAAAATGCGTTAGTCTCACTACATTGCAATGCTTTTTAATACTCTCTGTAACCAGTGGGAAGTATGGGTGAAGTACTTCTGCTGGACCCTGAAGCACGAGGGTTGTTCCAAAGAAAGGGGATTGTTTGAGCAGCACGCTGATTTGGGTATGTGGCAGGCATCTTCTCAAACATAACAAAGTTAGCCCAACACTTTGAGGAAAACAACTGATGGTATTTGTTACCAGTGGGAAATTTCCAGCCTTCAGCTGAAACTTAAGATTTAGGAAAACTGAGAGCTTGACCACAGCGTTTAAAGACATCTCTGATGAGATCGTGGTGATTTTAACAAATGTGATTTTTAAAAAAAATGTTTTATAATGAAATGTGTCCATTTGCGTAATTCAGTGAACCAGTAGTTTCCAAATGGCCAATGCGTGATGTTACAAAATCATGCAAGTATAAAAGATTCATTTAAATAAATGCAAGTTAGACCAACACGTTTTCATGTAACAAGGGAGGAAAAGTTTATTGATCTGATTTCAGATTCCATATTTACAACTACCCTTTTAAGAAATTGTTGCTTCTTGTTTAGTGTAGTGTCAAAGAAGAACATTCACAATGATTTGAAAAAGCGATTTAAATATCTCTCCCTTGTCCAACTACAAATTTCTATGAGATCATATTTTCTTCCTATACTTTAACCAAAAGATCTTATCACAATAGATTGGATGAGGCAGCAGATATGAGAATCTGATTTTATTTCTAAGTCAGACATTAAGATTTGCAAAAAACGCCTGGCTGGGCGTGGCTCAGGGGTTGAGCATCGACCTAGGATCCAGGAAATCGAGGTTCAATTCCCAGTCAGGGCACATGCCCGGGTTGTGGACTTGATCCCCAGTGGGGGGCGTGCAGGAGGCAGCTGGTCAATGACTCTCTCATCATTGATGTTTCTGTCTCTCTCTCTCCGTCTCCCTTCCTCTCTCTGAAATCAATAAAGATATATTTAAAATATATATATATTTGCAAAATGCAATGCTACTATTCTCACTGATTTTAAAAATATGTATATAATGGGATTTTTTGTTATTTTTATATAAATGAGTATCTTTAATTTTACCAGTTTCTAATCTNGATTTTAAAAATATGTATATAATGGGATTTTTTGTTATTTTTATATAAATGAGTATCTTTAATTTTACCAGTTAAATATTGATATAACCCACAAAAACAAAGGCTTTTAGGAATTTGCAATAATTTTTAAGAGTTTACAGGAGTTTTAAGGCCAAAAGGTTTGAGAGCCATTGTTCCAACTTATGCTGGCCTTGTCTTCCGACGTGGCATGGGGCCTGGACAAGGGGTGTTGATCTGGAATGTCAGCTCTGTAACTGGCCAGTCTGGAATTTATTATTATTTTTTTAAATATGTTTTTATTGATTTTAGGGAGAGGAAAGGAGAGATAGAAACATCAATGATAAGAGAGAATCATTGCCTAGCCGGGCGTGGCTCAGCGGTTGAGCGTCGACCTAGGATCCAAGAGATCGGGGTTCGATTCCCGGTCAGGGCACATGCCCGGGTTGTGGGCTGCAGCCGATTAATGACTCTCTCATCATTGATGTTTCTGTCTCTCTCCCTCTCCTTTTTTCTCTCTGAAATGAATAAAAAAATATATTAAAAAAAAAAAAAGNTCATCATTGATGTTTCTATCTCTCTCCCTCTCCTTTCTTCTCTCTGAAATGAATAAAAAAATATATGAAAAAAAAAAAAAGAGAATCATTGGTGGGCTGCTTCCTGCACACCCCCCACTGGGGATCGAGCCCGAAACCCGGACATGTGCCCTGACCAGGAATCGACATAGGTCAACGCTCAACCACTGAGCCCCACTGGCTGGGCCAGCTTGGGATTTAGCCTCTCTGAGCCTCAGTTGCCTTACCTGTAAAATGGAACTAGAAATAACACTTACTTATCTTACATGCTCAGGAAAGTATGCACCAAATATGAATCGCCATCCCAATAAAATCCTGGCCCGTAACCCAAGTTATTTACCATATCCTAAGTTTAAAACCCTTTTAAATTAACTCAAGGAAGCCAAGTGTACTATGATGTGAGCCTTGTCTTATACACTATATTTTATTTTGTGAATCTTGGTCTAAAATCGGTATAACAGACTCTCCCCTTCTGCTGTGTGCATGACTTAGAGCTGATCAAGGAGGTGTTGTCACTGGACCAGAAGATCCTTGACCTCGCCCAGGAGCTCTACACGCAGAGGTCGCTCCTCGTCATGGGGCGGGGCTATAACTACGCCACATGCCTGGAAGGAGCCCTGGTGAGTCCTCTCTGCCCAACCTCCATTCCACCAGCACAGAGGAGCACAGGGCACTGGGCTAGAGTAGGGGAGCGCTGAGGGCCCATTGTCCACCATGCGAGGCTGCACTGAGCACCAGCTCACTACCAAGTGTTCTCGCCCTGGGAACATAAAGATAGGGCTCCCAATCTTTATTCTCCCAGGATAGAGGGGTAGGACACCCTTGGGTGAGCCCCAGAGGTATCAGCCTGTGTCAGGCTCCATCTAGATTAGGCCATTTATGCCCCACTAGCATCTTCTGAGAGACTGACAATTATTGTCCACAGTCTACCCAGGAGGAAACTGAGCCTCCAAAAAACTCATCTCACTCAAAATTACGTAGCAGAAGCGACTGACCTGAGATTCGAAGTCAGGTCTATGTGGACCTTGCTTTTTTCCCACTGCCATGAGCAGCCTGCAATAGGTTCACAAGAACCAGTCAGAGAATAATGGAGGAGCCTGACCACAGTGCTCCAACTTCCACATGCTTCCAATGAGGCTCTGACCCTTGCCAGAGGCAGTGGGAGCACGCTGCTCCTCGGGGCACAGTGAAGCAAGGCCTGGGTGGGGTGTGCTTTCAAATCCCCTCTGTGCCTCTGCCATCTTGGGGGCTCAGCTGCAGTGCCTGCATGCACTGGCGAAAGATGCATATTCAACTGCATCTCCAACTTAATCTTTGGAGGGAAAGGAGCTTTTATGCTGCTACTGGCCCAAGTCAGTGACCCTCAGTGATCACTTGGGGGCGGGCACCCCAGATGTCTGTAGCATTCACAGTGGAGCCACGCTTCTAACAGTGTTTCCTGACCCAAATAAATGGTTCCAGGGGAGGTGGGAAAGGTATTCGTCACTCTTACCAGTCCAGTGACAGGAGTTTAGTGGTAACACAGAATGGATCTTCCTGAACACAAGGAAAATTCCAGTAACAGTCCAGTGTGTGTGATTTTGTTTGATAGGTAAATTGGATCAACCCTTTGCAATTTATTAATGGCCTGGAACTAGGGAAGTGATTAATCAGAAATAATTGAATGGAAGCATAGCTAGACAGAATACAATTCCGTCATTGCAAATCCTAACTGTGGGAGGCCGTGCGGCCTGGGGAAAGCTAGATTGATGCTGACTTGTCCATCCAAGGTGGGTGGCTGCGCCGAGAGGCTGGTCTGGGGACACAGGCTGCATGCTGGGCTTTGTGTATGCGCTGGACAGCAGCTGGCCATCTCCCTTGGACCTGGCCTTGCCAGTTGCCCTCTGTGCTGTTGACTACTCCGTGCGTCCATCCGCCTTGTGGCCTTCAAGCTGATCCTCCCCTCTGGTTGATGTGCTCCAGCCCCGTGTCTTCCCAGTGTGACACTGATTCCACCTCGTGTTTTCCCAGAAAATTAAAGAGATAACCTACATGCACTCCGAAGGCATCCTGGCTGGTGAACTGAAGCATGGACCCCTGGCGCTGATCGACAAACAGATGCCCATCATCATGGTCATCATGAAGGACCCTTGCTTTACCAAATGCCAGAATGCTCTGCAGCAGATCACCGCGCGCCAGGTGAGGGCTCTCAGCTGGGCTGGGGCCACCTTTCTCCTCTCTTCCATACATGCCCACCTCAACCACTGTCTGCCAGCACTGTCTGTGCTTGGGTCCTGCCAGCGAGCAGGGATGACCACACACTCTCTCCTCAGCCCCTCATGAGTGGTACACATGTTCAGAAGGGCCTGGCCAGCTTTTGACCATGCCCACAACAGCTCCTTAGTGAGGACCCAGAGTGCCAGGAGCTGTCCTGGATCCCAAGCCAGGATACTAGAGGAAGTGCTCCTGGTGGGAAGTCCTGAGGGCGGTACTGATACTCCCCACATGGAGTTAGATCATATTTCACAGGTGAAGGGCACTGTCCTCCACCAGACTGCTTTCACTCCAGACACCAGCTGCAAGTTCAGGGGTTCTCAGGTTACCCACACTTCTGCATTTCCTGATAGTCCCTCAGGTTCAGCAGTTCCCTAGATTGACTCATAAAACTCAGGAAAACACTATATGACTGTTACAGTTTTATTATGCAGGATAGAAATCAGGGTCAGCTTTAAGAGATTCATAAGGCAGCGCCCCAAAACACCAAGCTTCCATGGCCTCAGGACGCTTCCCCTCCCTGCACGGCAGTGAACATCACCAGCCTAGGAGCTGCCTGAGTTTCCAGCTCCAGGGTCCAGAGCTTTTATTGGGGTTTCATTATGTAGACACAATAGATTGCATCATTGGCCACATGATTGAACCCAGTTTCCAGGACCTCTTCTGTCCCTGGAGGTCAGGTCAGGCTGATATCCTGTGGCTCAAAGCCCCAACTCTAACTACTCGGTCTGTCTTCCTGGCCCATTCACCCCCATCCTGAAACTATAGTTGGGCCCACCATGAGTCACCTCATTAGCATCAACTGAGGTGTGGTCCAAGGGGCCCAGCGTGGAAAACAAAGACACTTCTATCACTCAGGAAAGCCCAGGAGTTCAGAGGCCCTCTCCCCGGGGCCAGGGACAAAGACCAGCCAAAGTCTTTATTAAACTGCAGCTGTCCGGAGGTGGGGGGGCTGTGAGGTTCCCATCTGACAAGGCGCTTGAGCCAGCTGCTGCCACTCCTGGTTCAGCATGGTGGTCAGAGAGAAGTGGTAGAACACAATCACTACATTTGTTGCTTAAAACCTTCCAGTGGCTTCCAACAAACTACAGTGACCTCGAGCCTGCATTATCCAACCCCTTCCTTCTGTTTCCACTCATGACAGCACCTTCCTGCCTCTGAGCCTTGGCGCTGGCTGCTTCCTCTGCCCCGCATGTCTTCCCACACACCTCCAGAGAGTTGGCCTCTCTGCTTCCAGGTCTCCCCTTTTTGGAGGGGCCATCCCAGACTTCACCAGTCTCCCCCAATCACATTACCCTATTTCATTGCCTTTGTGGCACTTGCCTGAAGTTTGTTACTTGCTGGTTTTCTTGTCTGTTTTTGTTTCCCACCACTCACCTGTGAGCCCCATTAGAGCAAGGAGAGGATGTTCCCTGCCCTTTGCAAGGAACATTGAAGCCACTCAGAAATGGGTGCTGAGTGACTGAAGCCAGGAGCATGACCACCCGGCCAAGGAAGGGAAAGAAACTCACCAAAAAGCATCAGAAACACTTTGTCCTTTCCATGAGTCATACACAGCACCTCACCCATAATTCCAGCAAAAACAAAAGATCACTGTCTTCATTGCAATAATGTTGATCTCAAAAACAAGAATGTGAGGGATGCTTCTTTCAGAGACGATCTGCATTTTGTAACCACTTTTCTCTGCTTTAGGGTCGCCCGATTATTCTGTGCTCCAAGGACGACACCGAGAGCTCCAAGTTTGCGTATAAAATGATTGAGCTGCCCCACACGGTGGACTGCCTGCAGGGCATCCTCAGCGTGATCCCCCTGCAGCTCCTGTCCTTCCACCTGGCTGTTCTCCGAGGATATGATGTACGTCTGGAAACTGCTAACCCAGAAAAGGGCAGAATGTACCCCTAGAACTCTTTTATGTTTTTAAATACTTATTTGGTGTGTTGACTAAAAAATAATACCGACTAGGTGTTTCATCACCAAAAAGGATTTATTTGGGGGGAAAAGAAAGAGTTGCAACCCAGTGATGCAGACATGGCAAGCCACGTGCCCCCTTGTAGCCCGTGTGCCAAGATGGATGGGTACTTATAGAAGGGAAAACGGAAATTAAGGGGAAGGGAAGTTAGAACCACAGAGCTTTATTATAAACATAGAGTCCTCCCTGCAGGCTTCTTGCATGTAGGGTTCTTGTGATTACCTAAGAGTGTGAGAGCTTCCATAACCCTAGCTCCTCGCACGGACCCTCCCAACTGATTTGTTTTCTTAAAGTTCCAGTTAGTCTTTATCAGGTGTAAATATTCAGAGGATAAATATATTCATTTAAAATATATATATATAAAATATATATAAAAATAACTCTTTTTAAAGTAACTTACACCCCCTGAAAACAGCTTGAGAACTGCAAGATGTATAAAGGCCATACCATTAAACCATCAGCTCATCACCCAGAGGCAATGTTAATAAGCAAATTCAGTATCTTATTCCAGTCCTTTCCTTGTGCATGTGAGTTTTTAAACATTTTCCAAGATTATATCAAGGGTGAAATTTTACATCTTCCTTTTTGATATGTTATGAGTATTTTCTCACATCTTGAACTTGTTGCAAGCAACATTTAATCACTGCATAATATTCCATAGCAATCTCATAACGTAGATTTTAACAATTACTCAGCCAATCTTCTATTATTTAGAGTGTTTCTAATTTTTCAGAACACCTGCATAAATAACACCTGCAGTGAATGAACATCTTTGTACACACATCTTCATCCCACATTTAAGATTTGTCCTCAGTCTAACATGAGTTAACATTTTGAGACTCTTAACATATATTGTCAACTTATGTTCTAGAAAAGAACCAATTTATGATCTTACCAGCAAGTGTATAAGAACACACAATCTATTGTGCAAAGAAAGAGGAACTTGATTATAATTTATCCTGAGAAGCGTTAATAAATACATAACACAAAAAACAATATAAGAAACACCTGATGGTGCACATGTCATCCAGAAGTGACATATGCTAACATTTTGTCCTATTTCTGTTTTAAAACATTACTATAGCCCGGCCAGGCGTGATTCAGTGGTTGAGCATCGACCTAGGATCCAAGAGGTCACAGTTCCATTCCCGGTCAGGGCACATGCCAGGGTTGTGGGCTCGATCCCCAGTTGGGGGCATGCAAAAGACAGCTAATCAATGACTCATCATTGATTTTATCTATGACCTGTCATTGAACTTGCTGCAGGCAACATTTAATCATTGCATAATATTCCACCACAATCTCATAACTCATCATTGTTTCTCTCTCTCTTTCTCCCCCTCTCCCTTCCTCTGAAATCAATAAAGATATATTTAAAAACAAAAACAAAAAAACCCCAACATTACTATAAGTTAAATAAGGCATCTCAGATAAGGTTGAGGCCACTTTATCAGCCATCCTGTCACAACCCCCACCGTACACTGACAAGTCTCATGGGTTTAGTGCATATCCTTTTAAGAAAAGTGAATATTTAACAGTACAATTTGGGCTGTCTTTGAGGGCATCAATCATATCCTTTTAATAGTGCTACTGCTTAAAACATATCAGGTGCAAAATAAATGTTTATTGAATGAATCAAACATACAGCTAGTTGAAGTTTCTGGAGTAAGGAACCACCTCCAAGACGCAGGTCTCAAGGGAGCCCATGGTGGAGGTGAACAGGAACACAGCCTCCTTTTCAAGTACACTGATAATAGGCTTTACAATACAGCCTGTTGCTGAGCTCTGCGGGATTCTGAGCAGTTCTTTTTTATCATTTTAGGTTGACTTCCCCAGGAATCTGGCCAAGTCTGTAACTGTGGAATGAGAAGAACATGAGGAGACCATCACCACGTTTAATCTGGTTCAAGACTGTCCCAGTGAGGCCATTCTCATCTCCTAGATCCCAGTAGAGCTTGACAGCTTCCACGTGCCTTGTACCCAAGAGCTTTGCTTACGGCAGATACTGTTTCTCTGTGTCCTGAAGTCGCCAGCGGGGAAGGGACTCATTGTTTACATGGGGATCAGAGCGGACTTTTCCACCACCGTGCAATATATAGCTCTTTTCGAGTAACTGTGAACCTTTTTTAATCAACACTAGTTAGTTTTAAAAAACAAAATATTTATAATGACAATTGTATAGCTTTTAAGTTATTTTTCTAGTATGTGGCTTTCTGTAGCCGCGGTCATGCCCAGACTGTGCCCACGGCCACCCAGTGCCCCCAGTCTCCTGTCGGGCGGCATTCAGCTCAGATGTGAGCACAAGGCACTGCCTCTGACTCTTTTCTCCTTTCCCTTCCTCTCTCGGCTGCTCCTGAATCCAGTCTCGACGTCAGGGAAGCTTCCCGGGCTTCCCCCGCCTCCTGTAAGCCCTGTTGGAATCTCAGCTTCCTTCCATGGTTACCTCCTGTCTAAATTCCTCCAACTCACCCACTTTCTTTTTCATCTGACCATGGTTCTTTTTAAGCACAGGCAGCATTTTGGTCCTTGCTCTTGCCCATAGTAAAAAGGCCTGAAATGTCTCATGCGAGAGAGTAGTTTCAAGTGGGTTCCCTTGCCCTCTATTTAAAAGCGTGTACAATCAAAGAACTATGCAATTTTAAGACAATAAAGACAGTACACATTTTTGTCCTGTGCATTTGGATTTCTGTTCATCTCTTTCTGTGTGCTTGGATTTTGAGGGCTCCTCAAAACGGGACTAGGCCGTGTCCGGTGGGAGCACATCCGCGACCTGTGTGCTTCCAGTATGAAAATGATGGTTTTACAGGAAGAAACAAAATGTGGGAGATTTGGGAGTCTCTACTCAGAGTCCACTAAACAACTGTTGGAGGAGGTTGAGCCACGTGATAATGCTTGAGATGGTTGCCCAGAGCCTGAAGACAGCAGCCAGGGGTGAAACTCAAATTTGTACTTTTTCCCCCCTGGTGACCCTATTCTACTCATCGATTCTATTAGTGCAATCAGGCAGGAAAGTAGAAAGCTGGAGACAGAGTTCCGAAGGCTTGTGGGGTCGGAGTTTAGGCTCTGTGAAAGTGCTGTCCCAGGGGCTTGCATAGTATCTTCATGACAGCTAGCTAGTGTATGTGCTCTGGTACCTCAGGCCTTTGTCCTGGATTACCTGTGAGCCACTGAGCAACTGTCCCAGGGATTGGAAACCCGGGAACCAAATTTCCAGGTTAAATTCCACCAGTGAGAGGCACTACTGGGAGATTTGGAAGATAGTTCAGAAATTGTTATTCATTGAGAAATCATTTGTTCCCCCTCTGACAGGCAGACAGAAGTGTCACTTCAGCAGACAGGAGGTCTTATTATGGTGGTGCTCCCCCAAACTCACCTGCCACTCAGTGCTCTAGGCAGCGGGGGCCATCCAGCAGAGGTTTCCTTCGGGTCCTCCAAAATCCCAATTCCGGAAAGCTGGCAGGGACCCAGGGGTTGTGGCCCTCCCTGACCTCCGTTCCCCTGCCCCTCTCACATATTAACCAGGTGTAAGTCCTGCTGGAAAGCCTGCCCTGGTTTCTGTCTTCCTGACCAACCTACTGCCAATACAACTTCTGAAGTTAGGAAACTTTTTACAAACTACTCAGAATATTTTTATCTGGACAAGAACCAGAGAAATGAATTTCATCCTTATGCCTGAGAGGTGATGACCATCCTGACATTTGTATTAGTTGTTTCTATTTATTGTTCTACCACCCGCGTATAAATCTATCTCCAAACAGTAAACCACCTGGTCCCCAAGGCGGAGGGCAAGTGCGCATCAGCCGCGCAGGTAGAGGGCAGCCCTGCCCCTGCTGGACAGCAGCTCCAGGAGGTCAGAGGCACCGCCTTGGGGTGATGGTCTGACTTCTGCTTCTCTGGGAGGTGATGAGGTCCCTTCTGGGGAGGTCATGAGCAAGGTCACAAGCGAGTCTTGGGAAACAGGGTCCTCCACAGTCAGATGCCTGACAAGACTGCCGTGTGGACCAGGCACTGGACGTGCAACAGAAGGGTGGTCAGAGGAGGTGGGCTGCTCAGTACCCCTGCTCCTGAGCTCTCCGTGGCCTACCTCCAGCTGTCAGGGAAAACTGAGGACTTCTGTGAGTGACATGCATGTCCTTAGTAGAGCATCAGGGGAGAGACCCTCGTCAATATGTGGTCACAATAAGCCAACTACTGATGAGAACCTGGGCCGGGTTCTCCTGGGCGTCAGTCCTCAGGTTAAGAAGGCGGCCCCATGAAAGCGGGGGTCTTGGCGGTTACAACCTGTCTCTGGGGTGACCCTGCTGCAGTGTGGCTCAGTTGCCCTCCAGTCTGGTTCAGGGTGGTCATCCTGGGGTCACCTCTCACCATCTGCCAAGGATCCCTTCTCATCTCTCGTGCTGGTCTCCTGCTTCCTGTCTCTCGTGTCTTCCTTCTGAGTTGTAGTGTTTGTTTTGGTGCAGTACCTCCTTCTAGAGTAACGGTGCTTGGGGGGTAAGATTTTTGAGACTTTGCATTTCTAGAAATGACTATTTCTCACATTTGATTGAGGGTTAATCTAAATATAGAGTGCAAGTTCAGAAAAAAAGATGTTTCCTACAGAATTGTCAAGGTAATGCTCCCTTATCTTCTTTGCAGTGCTGCAGTGAAGGGGTCCAAAGTCACCCCAATGTGCCTTTGTAGGTGACCTGTTTATTTTCTTTTGTTCCCTGTGTCCTGAAATATCCCAGAGGTGTCTTGTCTCTTTTCACTGAGTGTTGGCTTCAGTTTGGTAACTCATGCTCTTTAGGTCTGAGAAATTTTCATTTTTTGTTTTTAAAAAAAATTCTTTAAAAAAAATTTTTTTATACTTTACATTCAATATTATTTTTATTAGTTTCAAGTGTATACAGCATAGTGGTTAGACAATGGGAATTTTTCTTGAATTACTTTTTTTACTTTAAATAACTTTATTTTTCAATTACGGCTGAAATACAGTATTATATTAGTTTCAGGTGTACAATGCAGTGATTAGACATTATATAACTTACGAAGTGATCATCCCTAAATTCATTGAGCATCCTTAAAGCCAGTGTTTTGAACTCCCTTTGCATCAAGTAGATTGCTTTTCTCCACTTTTTTTGGTTATTTCTCTGGCATTTTCTTCTGTCCTTTCATTTGGGACACGTTTCTTTTTCTCATTTTAACTGCCTCCTTGCGTTTGTTTCTATGTATTAGGTAGAGCTGCTATGTCTCCCAGACTTGGTAGAGTGGTCTTATGCAGTAGATGTCCTGTAGGGTTCAGTGGCACATCCTCTCTGATCACCCAAGCTGGGTACTCCAGGTATGTGCCCTCCCTGTCCCATGTGGGTTGTGTATACCCTCTTGTAGTTGAGCTTTGATTGTGGTTGGCACATCAATGGAAGGGATCTCCCCCCAGGACAATGAGCTGGGAGAACTGGCTGCAACTACTGTGGAGGATCAGCTGTGCAGGGGCTGATCCCATGGAGCAGGACTTACTTCAGGGGATCTCTGGTGCCTGCTAAATCCACCCCTTGAGTGTGTCCCTTGTGGAGGATATTGAGTAGTTCTTCAACACAGTCTGAAGCTGTCTACGTGCAGGCCAAGGTAAGCCGCCATCTGTGCCCTGTCTGGGACCACCTGGCATGAGCTGCAAAGCGATCTGCAGATGATTGCTACTTGTGCTGTGCTTGGAGGTGCTCAAGAGAGGCCAAGCTGCAAACCAAGTTTGGCTACTGCTAGTGCTGGGCCTGGGGCCACTTAGTGAGAGGTATGTAGCACGCCAAGGCCAGGTGCTTCTTGTTTGAGAGATTTTAGGAAAGCCTGAGTGTGAAGCAAGACAGGCTGTTCATATAGAAAAGCCACTGGAAATGGCTTGGGTTGGGCCAGCAAGTTGGGAAGGGCAGGGTCTTAAGGAATCACCAGGGCAGGGTGAACAGTGTGAGCCAGGTTGATAAGACTCAGATATGGTGCTTGCCTGCCAGCTCTGTGGGAGGAGGGCCAAAAAAAGGAACAATGGTCTCTGCCAGCACTTCTGTCTGGGAGAAAGCTGCTCCTCCAACTTTTGCCCCAATGCCAGACAACTCAGTTCCTCCCCATATGTCCCTGGTGCCCCAGCGCTGGATCTCAGAGCCAGTGAGTCTGAGTAAGTCCGTGCACGGGCCCTTTAAAGGACCTGGGACTCCAGCAGCCCTCCGTCACCCTCAGCCACAATCCAAGCTGGTTTTTACAGCCAGAAGTTATGGGGACGTCTCTTCCTGGCATGGGGAACCCTGGCCTGGGGGCCTGGCTCCTCAGGGGGTACCTCTGCATGTGAGATCTCCCAATTTTTGTCTGACACGTGTGAGTGTGGGACTAGCCCATTTCACCTCTCCACCCCTCCTACCAGTCTCGATGTGGCTTCTTCTTTATATCCTTAGTTGTAGGCCCTGTCTCAATGTGGCTTCTTTATAGCCTTAGTTGTAGGACTTCTCTTCAGCTAGATTTCAGGCGGTTCTAAATGGTGGCTGTTCTGTAGTTTAGTTGTCACTTTATTGCGGTTGTGGGAGGATTTGAGTACGGCATTTACCTACGCCACCATCTTGACCGGAACCCCTTGAATTACTTTTGTGTGTGGTGGGTTTCTTGTCCTGTTTTTCTGGCCTCACTGTTATTCAGAGGTCAAAGCTGTTGGAATGGCTTTAATTTTTTATCTTTTCTATTGTGCACCTAGTTTTCACTCTATCAAATGGGAGGTTTCTTCAATTTTCTCTCCCAACCTGTCCACTGCAAACATTTTTTCATTTCTGCCACCACAAATTAATTTCCAAGAGTTCTTTTTAATGCTCTAAATACATAAATATATACTTTATGACATATATTTGTAATTAACTAAAGTCTATGCTTTATTCATATTTCCTTAGTTTGTATCAAATGCCCTTTTCCTATTCCAGGACACATTACATGTCTCTTTGGGTTCCTCTTGGTCTGACAGTTTCTCAGATTTTCTGTTTTTATACAACCTTGACAGTTTTCAGGACTACTGGTGGCTGTTTTGTAGACTCTCTCACATTTGGGTCTGATGCTTTTTAAAAAATATGTTTTTATTGATTTCAGAGAGAGGAAGGGAGAGGGAGAGCTAGAAACATCAATGAGAAACATTGATCAGCTGCCTCCTGCACACCCCCTACTGGGGATTAAGCCTGAAATCCATGCATGTGCCCTGACCAGGGAATCCAACTGGCAACCTCCTGGTGCACGGGATGACACTCAACCAACTGAGCCACACCAGCCAAGCTGTCTGATGCTGGCTGTCTCATGGTTAGACTGGGGTCATGTGTTTTTACCCTCAGAAGTAAAGTGCCCTTCTCATCACTTTATATCAAGGGTACATACCATCAACATGTCTTATCACTGCTATGGTAAGTGGTCGCCTGAGGTATTCTATTTTTCTCCCTTTCCATGCTCAACTCTTTGGAAGTCACTATGCTTATCCCCCACGTACAGAGGGAGTCGTGCTTCACCTCCTTGAGAGTATCTCCATTGATTATTTGGAATTCAGTACAGATGTGTTTGTCTCCATTTATTTTTATTAAATCATTTATTTCTATTACTATGAACTCATGATACTTACTTTATACTGAGTCATAACCCAATACTATGTTATTTACTTTGCTGCTCCAATTGTTCCAGCTCTTTCAGGTGGCTCGTTGTCCCTTATGACATGCCCCCGCATTGAAGGTGTCCTTTGTAAGTACGTCCTTACTTTCTTGCACAACAGGATGCTCCAGGTTCATTGTGTACATCCCCTGCCCTGGCCCTGGAATCAGCCTATTTTCCTTTATCGGAGAAAAGACCTGGGCTCAAAGCGTACTTTTGCTACTGGGATATTGCTTCTAGGCCATCTCAGCTGAGAGAGCAAGGGCATAATTCATGAGCTGAATAATTTTTTTAATGGCTGGTTCTCATTTCAAGGACACAATATTTTTTCATTCGCTCTGAAGCCTGCAATGATACATTTTTTCTTTTGGGAATTTTCTTCTCCAGATAGTTTGTTTCTTTTCAGATGTAGTTTTCTGTTCAATTGTCTTAGTTTTCTTTGCTATGTGACCTTGGGCTGTCCAGTCAGATTCAAGGTTGGGGGATAGTTCTGAGCACACAGTGGGGCCTATTGATGGTGAGATTCACTGCTGGCCAATCTGGGGGAGTCGGGGGG